AAAAAGAAACTTAAAGCATTAATTGCTGAAGTTGTAAATGAGAGAATCAAGCTGGAAATGAAGGATGAAAAGGACCTGCCATGGAGCCCTCGCCACAGAGGCTGCTGCTGTGGGTGGTATTTCATCCCAGGCATTCACGCCGACAGAAGAATAGATCTCTCGTTTATTTATCCTGGCGCCTTGTGTGCAGGCTACAGGGTCCAGCCCGCGAGGGTCTGAGCACTGTCAGATCTCATCGCTTACAGCGAGAGGTAGGACATTTAGCACCTATCACCATCAAGCCTATAATCCCTCAATTTACTAGCATCTGTTTGCCAGACTTACTACTCTCTCCCGTTTGGAGTAACAAGGCCAAAAATACTTCTCAAACACAGGAAAAATGTGCACCCTTGAAATGGCTAAAAGTATATCAAAAGCACAGTCCTGGTGTCTGATTGCAGGCAATAACAAACACAAGTACAGAGTTATTGGACCATCTCTGTGCACAGAACAAGAGCCTTCTTTCCAAGGCTATTACTTTTTAACTCATAAGGCTGAAAAATATAAAAATTCGAATCGCTTATAATCACGGCTCTAGGAAATTCTCTCTTCTTACGGTAGCAAGACTCATAGCTGTATCAAGGGCTATTCTGTGGTTCATCCCCAAAGATGCGATATTAAAAACACTCTTGCAAGAGTAATTAATACATGTATTAATGACTGCATTTACCTGACACCATGCTTATGGCTCTCCAAACTACTGTTCCCCTGGGTACTCACATTTAAATTATGTGGACTGTACAGTGAATTTCCTCCCAAGCCATCATTGTATCCTCCCGTCTGATTGATAACATGACGCAGGGTATCCACCTTAAAGTAAGGGGAAACAAAATTCATCATTCCGAATCTATTAAAACATCATCACTTACAATAGGCAACATTTTGAATTATGTGAGCCAAAAGGGTTTAGCATCTTCTATGAAAGGCAAATTTATCAATCAAGAATGACTGGCAGAATTTCAACAAATCCTTGCATGTTAAAAACCATACATCTTTGCTTCTCACACCAGCCAAACAACAACTTCCTCACAGCAGTGCGTCCTGTAGGTCCTTCTTAAGCGTCTGCAGCAAAGTGCTGTGCATATTTATATGTCTGTATGTGCTTGCATGTACGGGAAGAGATTATGGCATATATACTGCGTATAAAACATGGAGTTAGCCCTGTCTGAAAGGACTGGAAAAGTGACTGAGAATGAGTTGTATTTTAATAGCTCAGTTAGATGGGTTCTGACATTTAAATAAATAAATAAATAAAAGTTTGACCAATAAATAAACGAAAGGTTTAAAAAAAAAAAAAGAAAAAAAGAAAAGGAAAAAAGAAAGAAAATTCACTGGATTTACAGTGTCCATGGAAGTCAGACGCACCCAATCCCATTCCATGAGCTCAAGCCAGAGCCGAATGCATTCACAAAGCTTAAAATTTCAATCAGAAAAAAATCGCTCTTTCCTTTATATTTGTGAAATTCAATGCTGGGGTAAGAATAGGTCACATTCAGAAATATGCAGCCTCCACTTTGCAGCGAGGCACAGACCATTTAATAGAGCCAGAGTAAGGTGGAATTTTTAGCCCAAACCCTACCCTGCTAGAAAGGCCCTACTTTGGGGCATTTCTCCTACCTGTGACTGCACATTGGCTCCGACTTGGGACCCCTGGTAAGAATCCCCATTCAGACTCTGCATGTTCATGAACATGTCCCCAGAATTTGGGAGGTTAAAAGAACCAGAAGAACCTGGAAAGGAAAGAGTTAGGTAGCTGAATAACAGAGAGCTGCAAATATATAACCCCAGAGACCTGAGGGCAGGGGAAGGAGAAGAAGACAGGAGAGGAGAAGGAAAGGCAGCGCAGGGGAAGCCTGGGAGCCCCATGCGACACAGGTCAGCTTCTCCCTCTGGAAGAGCAGCCTGTACAACAACAGGTTGTTATGTTGAGAGCTTTCCTCCGGTGGATCGCTTCATCGTGAGATGCTATCACCAAACACTCGGAGAAAAACTCACTTTGAGTCTGTGCTTAATGTCTGCTTCAAAAGGAAATGGCTGGCAATTTCTAATTAGCTGATTTATTACCGTCAGAGGAGGAACTTTTTTCTAACTTTCTTTTGATTAAAGTTTTTTTCCCCCATGGATCTTTATACCCTTTGAAAGTTGTCTACAACTAAGTCACAGCAAAACTTCACTGTAAATGGTGTCAAAGATACCTGTGCTTTGTGGAAACCTTTGCCTCTGGAGCCCAAAAAAGCAACTTCCTCTTTACGAACTCCCATACTAATCTAATGCTTAGATTTGCAAAATGTCAACAACACACTAGCGAAACAATTTTTAAATACCGCAGAAGAACATGTGGTAGAGCAACTCCAAAATACAAGTTGCATCCTTAGATTTCTATATATAATCAACTCCATTTCAAGCAACCCAGAGTTTAAATTCTAATTAGTGCGTGCTAAAATATTCCTCTATTTTGTTCTTATCTTGACAATAAATTTAACAGATCTACAAAAACAGACTTGGAGCTCTGCCTCATTTTGTGTTATTTTCATCGAATGAGAAAAAGCTTAAAATATCTTTGGAAACAAAGAAGCTGCCAAAAGCCCAAGCCAGGCAGACGTTACCAGTGCAGGAATTACGTGAGGCCCACTCTGTTCCCTCGTGAGGCCGCAGGAGCTTCGCCGCCGAAGCCGCTGGGACCATCTACAGCAGTGCTCAGCCCTCACAGCGGTCCAGCCTGGAGGTCCATGGGCTTGGTCCCGCTCCCCGTGCCACAATTAGGTCTGTGAGAGAGCTGCAGCCTTCTCAGCCTGACCGAACTCACTAGGGTGCCATCGAGGGACTTCCTTTACGGACTGCCCTTCGGGATGCTTTAATGCACGAGCCGGGTACGTACCAGAGTTTGGTGTGGTGGGGGAGTTTGTCTGGTTGTTCTGGACGGCCGCGGCCACGGCGTGTGCTGCAGTCACAGCCGTCTTTGCCGCGTAGAGATTGGCTTCTTCCTGGAATTTCCCAATGTTCTTCTTGTACCTGATTCTCTTATTGCCAAACCAGTTGGACACCTGCAGTGGAGAGAGATGGGAAGGGTGAAGGAGGCAAAGAGCTTGACCCAGCAAAGCATGATCACTTTGAGATGTCATGTTTGGTTCAGCAAATATATGTGCCCCAATCCCCGACCCATATCTGCCAGGTACTCCAGTTAACTAAGCAGTAATGAAGCATCAGTTAACTATTACTATGGATATGAGCGAGATCTGGCTCCGCTCCTCTGTTGGCAAATTGATGCATGGGGGGGTGACTCTTTGATGACGACACATATCCTGGAGCTTGCTGCAGCATTTAGTACAGCATTGTCTCCTACTACTATGAGCCATTTGTCAACGAAATCAGTGCAAGACCCCGAAAGCTGCTCAAGGGGGACCAAGGTCTGGTTCAGTGAGGGCAAGCAGGCAGTGAGAGCAATTGTTCTTTATTTTTGGGCTGGAACAACCTTGGCAGCCCACTCATAGAATCGTGTTTGGTCGGCTGAAAATGAAAGGAATCATATAAATCAATAATGGCTGAAAAGTCACTTTGTCATCTCCCTTTGAAGATACTGTAGTGAAGCCAAGATGGCTCACGGGGCACCGACTATTAACCCACGCAGAGGTCACGGCTGGAGCCGCTCAGAGAAGTTCGTACAATCTTTCTCAGTGGCTTTGTTTAACTTCAGCTGCTGTAACAGAGCTCCTAAATAACAAAACCAGTTTGCAACACAGACCACAGCCAAGGCTGCCACAACAAAAAGCCTCTGCAACAACACAGAGGTAAAGATGGGGCAACCAGCAATAACACGAGTGGTTATCACCCAGCCGCCCGGCGCGGGGTGAGGCAGGGGCTGCGGTCCCACAGATGCGCCCGGCCATGCACCGCAGCGGCTCTGCAGCACCTCTCACGCCCCTGTGCTCCACCACAGCACCCAGTAAGGCACCCACACCGGAGCACCCAGTAAGGCACCCTGCTGCAGGCCGGAGACAAATCCTGCTTTACTTTATGCAGCATAGCTTTTGTTTAAACACAATTAATGAAAAGCCTCTAGCTTTTAACGGTAATACGAAAGGTACCTTATACATTCTGTTCCCTAGATAATACTCCACCGTACTCTATATATTGCACTTAATATTACCTTGTCAGTCACAGAAGCAATAATACATTAATGAAACCTAGCAAATAATTATTGTGGACAATCAGATTATGCTTTATTAACAGTTTCATAATTGAGGAATCTCTGTACATCAACTGTATTGTCCACGGATGTGTGCGAGACCCCTCTGTTTATGCACGCCCCTGGACCAATCAAACAACAGCCATCACTAATAAAGGTTTATTTAATTCTCACAGTAAAATTTTAATATCACCAGCAGCCTGGGGAAGCCTCAACGAGTGGATTTGCTTGACATCAGATCGTTTCCATTCTGCTAGTCCCAATACTTCTTAATCTTTAATATCAAGGCAATTAAAATTAATGGCCACTCATCCAGAGCCACTGTGGGCAGTGTTTCCTTGACATCAATTGTTTGATGGGATTACCTAGAGGTTAAACTAACAAGCAAGGTTTAATTGGAAGCAATGAGAGGAGCAGTGATCGTACGTTATGTTTAACCCGCATACCACATCTAAATGAATATCCAGAAATGTTAAACTATTTCTGAGATTAAAGCACGCGCCCTGCGCACCAGCAGAGCTCAGCATCCGGGGCTGCCGCGGCTGCCCGAGAAACCACAGCATCCCTCCGGGGTACGCAGTCACCGCCCAGGTCCCTTTGCCTCCCGGCCGAAGGACTCTTTGCTCTCCCTTGAAACACATCAGCGAGGGGCTGCAGCAGAGCATGCCATGGCCTGGGATGCGCAGGGACTCCAGCCGCAGCCAGGCGTGCATGGCCGACACGGGCAGTTGGATGCGTCCAGGACAGGGACAGGGCACCGCTGGAGCAGAGGCTGTGCCAGGATTTAGGCTGGATTTACCACCGTGGCATTTCTCCTGTGGGGCCGTGCTGGCTGCCTGCACCTTCCCCGGCACACCTCGCCCTCGCCGCTGGCATCGTCCCCGTCCCAGTGGAGGGCCAGGATGCTGGTGCTGGGCTGCCCCCCATCAGCACCCAGACCAGGAGGTGCCACGGCACCCTGGCTCCTCACCCAGCCCCACGTTCACCCCAAAAAAGAAATTTGTCTCCATTGCGAGCTGCTTCACAACACATTTTTCATTAAAACAAACTATCTTTTCACATAAAAAAACAATGAACATCTTTCTCCTCCTGATCATTGAAGGCCAATTAATTAATTGGGCTTAATTGTATATTACATTTCAAACAATACTGTTGCACTTATTTATCATGTTAATTGCAATGTTAAATAAAAAGACAATAAATTATTACTTAAATCGTCAAGATGCCTAACGTGGGATTTGGGATGGCACAGGCCTGCCTCGTGTCTCCGCACTGGGTGATTTCATGGGATAAATCAGTGCTCGTTCTGCAAAAGACACAGCTGACACAAGTGCGTCACTGCTGAAATTAGTGAACTACATATTTATGGATCATGGAAATTTTTCCACTGTGTTTGTAGCACACAGTTTGTGTTCCATACCTAATCAAATGGCACAAAATAGAAAAGTTTCAAAATCAATGTGGCACAATTATGATACATGATCTAAAACTAAGAATTCTACCCCTAGGAACTGTTTAATTAAGCAGACTTTTTTTTTTTTTTCCCCCTTGCTTCCCATATGAAGTCATGGGGTAAGAGTCTATATATCCATAGCTCCCCCTGCCAATCTGCTTACAGAAACAGACTCAGAAGAAGCAGGGACAGGAGTGTTGAAAACGAGCTTCTGCATTCTTTCTTTAAAAGAATTTTAAATATATCCCCTTGTCAACCACATCCTTCTTTTGTTTGAAGCAGTGAAAAATTTTATTGCTGTAATCCACTGACACGCTTTCAGCAATGACTATGCCCTTTCTCCAGCCCACATGATAGACTGATAGTTGTTCGTGACACCCTGAGAGAGGCTGATCTGCAAAAGTATAAAACATCAGCCTTGCAGCCATGGTAAGGGGAGAACAGATGATACAGTTTATCTCCCTCAAACATGTGCTGATCGGGTAGCTCTAAATTACAGCCGACGATGTTCTCTGTTAAGGACATTTTTTCCCTTAGAATTACCTTTTCCGTACTCTTAAAAATGAAATTGTGTGAGGTGTTCATCTTAATAAATAGTTTGTCTTTATGCTTTTCTTGAAAAACCTTCTCTACATATTACTTTAAACACCGATATCAAAACTGAAACCATCTATCTCCCATCTGCAACTAAATGATTCTGGGAGACAATTTTCTTTGCAGCTCAGTAAAGTGCTATGGCAGCAAGATTTCCAGTGAGCTGCTTAATCTGGGGGGAGGACGACCCAAAACACTCACTAATTAAGTGTTTGAGGGAGAAAATGTTCTGCCATGAATCTGCCCCCAGCATTTACAAGGCACTGACAGTACAAGAAAGAAACACCTTGGATCATCGTTAGGAGAAGCTACAGGGGAAGCCGGGCTCAGCCAGGAAAAGGACAAAGCCTCTTCATCAAACGTGAACCACAACCTCCAGGAGTTTGGAAAGCCATCCATTAACGTTCTTCCCCCCCACACACTTTTCCAGCTCTTTGCACCTCTGGGGAGTTTGTAGCACAGGAGGCAGACAGGGCACAGTGCCAGGCATGGCGATGTCTGATGGACTCCTGGTCGAGGCTGGAAACACGTGCGCTCAGAGATTTTTCACAGAAGCCCTGTGCAAGGTGTAGCTCAGTCACTCGCTTGGATGCCATTGCTTATCCCATGCGATGCTACTCCTGCCAGTATTTTAAATGACTGCTCAATTCACCCCCGATTTCTGGATTGCATCCTCTGACTTCTGCTGCCAACCACCGCAGCAGTGCACGCTGGGCTATTTTACAGTGCTTGCTCAGAGCTTTTCTGCTAGATGGCCTCAAAAATATACACATTTTTCAGTACAAAGAAAGACAACTCCAGCCCAATTTGACCTAGTAAATACCAACTAACCCCACAGTCCCACCGTGCGGCCTTTGGAAGTGGCTTTGAAAGTGCCTTTGAAAATCAAAGATTAGGATATCCGCGGTATTCCCATTTTCTGTCTGTGGCAGCAGATCTGTCAGGAACTTCAGCAACCAGCGGATCACGGGCACTCCCTCTCTCACATACGCGCTCCCCTCCCATTAGGTGACACATTGCCCCGTTTTCAGGCTTTCCCATCATCCGGAGGTTTTCCTAGCCATCCTGAAGCTCTGGCCACGGCCCCAGACCTGCGCCTCGGGCAGTTAGTGCCCTGGTTGTGTGGTCAGTGCTGCCCTTGCTCCAGGCGGGAAAACGTCACCCTGCAAAGCTCAGGACGCTGTACACAGTGCTACGGAGGACGCAATGCAGCTACTCTCATCGCTCACACAGACTTCCTAATGGATTCAAGAAACAACTAATTCATGCTCGTATCAAATATTAAAGAGACAAACCTATATTCACGTCACAGGCTCACTGCTGCTGCTGCATTTTTGGACCATCTGCCTGCCTTTTATTTCATTCTCCAGCATATACATTAAATCTTATCAAACAACCAATTAAGAAGGAAATCAGATCTATTAGCACTAGAAGCAATCAGTTATGGCTTCTCAAATGTTCCATCTCATTTCCTTCAGTCACTTCAGCCTTATCTAGATCTAGCTTTTTATCTGTCCACTCTGCGGGACCACTAACTCCTTCTCTGCCGGGCACAATTCTCTGTCTTCACAGCTCTTCAGCAGGTGTGTTCTTCTCCCTACCGTATAATCGCTCCCAATTACACTTTGCCAGCAGAGCTCAAGAACTTTCAGTTTCTCCAAGTTGGTGTTGATGATGTTGCCTCTCCTAACTACACAGCAGGTCGCCTCGGCTCACATCAGAAGATTTTGGGACACTACTTCCAAGAAGAATTGCTATAAACCACCTCGTGCCAAGAAGACTGAAACCAGCAACAAGATGTAGGGCTGCAGATCAAGACGCCCAGGTACTCCTCTGCTCTCGGGCTGTTTGGCCGGTTCCAGGCATCCACAGCAGCCGCAGGGACGTGTGTGGGCACAGAAGAGCTGCCCAGCAGCCACCACAGCTGCCCCCGTACCTGCTGGGGCTGCACTCACTTGCGCGATGTAAACAGTGACAAAGAGCAATGTGAGAGGGGATGAGTTTGGTGCTGAATTTCCCCCCAAAAATTCCTGCTCATCACCACAGCCACTTGTAAGCAGACTGGAAGAAACTGTTCTCATCTCCAGCCCTTACCTTTCCCTGGCACGGGCACTTCCCACCCCGCTCAGAGCATAGGACATGCCGCATGCCACAGAACGAGCAAGGAGAGCACGAGGTGCACACACACGTCTCCGCTGGCCTCTCACGTCACAGGGTATGTACTAAGGGTCCACCCAACGTCAATTAAGTAGTTTCAAATTTGGGGGAGCTGGGCAGCCTTTCCTTTGGAAGTCTTCAATAAAGTGCCTGAACTTTTCATGCATTCAAGGGAGACCTAGAAAGTAAATCTCAACTTGTGTCTTAATTATAAAACTAAAGGTTGCATTGCTAATAATGCCAATACTGCAGCCTGCAATCATTAATAGTTAACACATTCGCCGCAGGCATTGTTCCTCTAAAGGACCTGAAATATTGATAAGTGGAGCTGATGGAGCTGGGAGGAGATGGCACACCGGCCCTCACAACGGCGTGGCTGGAGAACTTGGGAACTGCTGGTGAGCCTTCCCTGCCACCCAAGTGCAAACTTTCCCAAGCAGTATGAGCCATATTTGCTGTGGGAATAATATTGGCTTTCTATCAAACGCACAGGCCACAAGAAATGCAAAGCGTTATTTTGCTTTTTAGGTTATCTGGTGAAGGAAAGCTCGATGGAGCAGTGTCATCGGCCTGAACATCGCTGCAAGACACCAGCCCAGAGCTGTAAGTATACTTTGGTCTATACAGAAAGCGGCCGTAGCCAACGACAGTGTGATTTCTGATTAGGGAGATGCTGGTTTCTTGCATTAACTTCACAGTAACATCTGTTATATGTGATAAAAGGAGCAAATCTGCCTAATACATTTTTGCTACAGAGAAACCACTTGTGCCACTTCAGTGTATCAAGAGGCTGAATTTCTGGCTGGCTTAGAAAAACAACTTCAAGCAATCAAAGAAATTCTGATCTATAGAGATAGATTATATGTTTGTCAATAAACTGGCCTTCCCCCGAAATGATGGTAAGTTGTAACGAATTCATAACAGACAGTAAGGCTCAGCAAGGAATCTTACTGACTGTGCAGAGAGAAAGCTGACGTAAGGCAGGGTGATAACCTCATGGCCTTTTATTTCTATCTTCATCTTTGTACACACGCTCTTTTTACCCCAGCACAGCCCCGGCCACCCACAGGCACGCTGCCTTTCCCGCAGAGCTTCGTCACGTTCTGTCACCCTGCTGACTTCATCGTGGTCAATAATGCAAATTTGAAGGGATTACAAAGGTGCGTTGGGCAGAGACCTCTTCCATGTCGCACACCTCCGTTGGAAGCACACCCCAGAGCCGGAGGGAGACGGCAGTTTTGCAGGGGGAGCGGGGAGGTCGACAGACTGCCCGGGGAGTGGAGGGCCAGGACACTGCTTACCTGCGATACTGTGATGCTGCATTTCTTTGCCAGCTCTTCTTTGGCTTCTTCACTGGGGTAGGGGTTACTGAGGTGGGAGTAAAAATACTCATTCAAGATTTCTGTGGCTTGTTTACTGAAGTTACGCCTTTTCCGTCTGAAACAAGAAAAGAAAACCACGGTTGTTCTTCCAGATGCAAACAGTGCGCCAGCAGCGTCAGCTGGGGTGGAAGTGACCCTTGTTTCACATGTCAGTGCCACAGCACACAGCGACACAACAGCAGCATCTCAGTACCACGATCCCTTTGGGGCAGCCCTCTGGCGGGGCTCTGGGCATCGTGCAGAGAGGGCAGCGGGCTGTGCCACCCACGTCTGGCCACGCAGGGATCTGCCTCCACATGGGGGTCAACCCGTGGATGCACAGACCATGTTGTGTGCTATAGCAGAAAACAGGACGAAGCAAAAGGCGAGGCAGGGCACAGAGCTGGGCAGCCCACCCGCACACCCCAGTGCACATCCCAGCCCGAACCTCCCGGCTGTTAAATAGCTCAGAGCTGACAGCAGCCTAACGAACCCCTCTCTATAGCAGCAGGTCAGCTGGGGCTGCTGCACAGGTGTCCGGGCTGAGCGCAGGGCAGGAGGACGGGTGGCCTCACTGCCGTGTCCTTACGTGGCACTCACTGCGCTAATTGGCTTCCGAGAGCAAGTGGCTCTCAGGGCTTTGCGAGGGAGTCCCATCTGTACACCCTCCTGCCGAGGGCCGCGCAGGGCCCAGGCTCTCGCGCTGCGTGGGACGGGTACCAAGGTGTGCAGCCCCGCAGCCTTACTAAAAAGCGAAGCCTTTCCGGAGCGCACTGCCCGGCACGACCTCCAGCCAGCCCAGCAGCGCGGCCGGGAGCAGCGCAGCCCCTGCGGCATGGCCGGCAGCCGGCCCGCTGCTGTGCTCTCTCCATACGGGTTACAGCGGCAGCATGTGCACAGCTGCGGTGCCTTCCCTCCGAGCCCATGTTTGCCGCGTTCCTTCTCCCCAGAACATCCTCTCCAAAGCACCAGTTAAACAGTTCCTTCGGAGCTCCCTTCCCCTCAGGGCTGGTTGCAATCAAACTGCCTGTGCCCGAGGCCAGCAGGCAGCCGAGCGGCAATCCCCAGCGCTCTCTTCCAGCAGTATCACGATGCTGCTAACTACGCTGTATCCTGGAGCAGGCAGACTCTCTCCCTAGAGCTATGTTTATCTCATTACTGTGCTTCCGCTCATTTTGCCTTATTTACCTTCCTCCTTTTTAAAGAAATCACTTTAAAATGTGCATCTGCAAGCTTTACCTTTTGCAGTTACTGGAGCTCTCCATAGACATTTCCTCCAACTGTTTGTAATTACCCTAATTTGCCACACCTGCCAGTGACCTCCTTGTTAATAAAATTATTTTGCTCTTGTTTAGCTCCTCACAGCTTTCAGGTGTGAAGCAGGAGCCGGCTGCCGAGGGGTGGCTCTGCATGGCGCCTGCTGCTCCTCCCCGCTCTGCCGGGCTCAGCTCCCGCTCTGCTGGCAGCCAGCGTCCTGCTGGGAGGGGGGGAGCCCTGGGGAAGGGATGGGGATGGGGACGCATCTCCCACCCCATCAGGGCTTCCAAACAAATCTGGCTGTGCCTATAAACCTTCTCCTAATCCCCACCTGCCTGCCTCCTCGCAGCCTGCAGAAAGCACAGCCTGTCGGAGGCCGGTGGGCTGCGGGGTCGGGCGCTGAGCTCCGCCAGCGACAGGGGTGTCCGAGGGACGCGTGTGCTGGCTGCGAGCGGTTCGGAAGGTGCTGCCTTCTCCCGCGCCCAGGTCACGCAACAGCTTGTTGGGAGACAGGCCAGCAGATCCGGCTTTCGGAAGCATCGTCACCCTTCTTACCTCGGGCGCGCGCAGCTGCTAACCCAGCGCCAGCCGCAGCCCGTGGGCACGTCCCTCCCAGAGAACTTGGCTCTTCCATTACAGGGTCAGCGTTTTGCAAGGCTGGCCTTATGCTGCGAGACATCGGTACCGGCAGCCATTTAAATAACTGCCGAGGTGACAAAACAGCCCTCTGCACAAACCCTACGTGACTCCCACATAAGCAGGGTAAACAAGCAATCATCGGGTAAACAAGCCCCAGCCTTTGCACTACAATATGTAGAAAAGACACCGGTGTTTATGAAAGCCCTCTGAAGGAAACCCCTTTTCACAGCACCCCCCTGGGTGAAGGACGAGGGCCCCGGGCTTTCCCAGGGGCAGAGCAGCCTGTCCTCGCGGGACCCTGCCCAGGCAGCGACGCAGCCCCCAGCAGGGCCAGGCTCTCTCTGGGCCGCACAGCAGCTGCCCCTTCCCTCCCCAAAAGGGCCAAGGACACTCGCCCCTGCCTTACCTGGCATCGAGGAACCTTGACCTTAAAATCATTACTGCTTCACAAGTACTTTGTTTGAGTTGCATCTGGATGGAGCTGAACTTTCGATGAATGATGCCCACCATCCTTTCAATCTCCTTGGGAGAAATGGGACGTGTCCGGCTCTGTTCTCTGAGAAGGTTCATCACATGTGTGGTAAACTCATTACACGCCTGCGGAGGAAGGAGAGGCTTAGAAATTGTTTTGTGCCATCCCACAAGGACAGAAGCTCCTTCCTGGCTGCAGGGGGGAAGGCAGTGCCAGGGGGCGGGGGGACCCTCGCTCTGCCCCATCCCCTCTGCGCACACGCGGCTGTGAGACCCAGGACTGTCCTGCAGCAGCCAGGGGAGCCAGGCAACCGTGGCACGGCTCCTTCCACGCCTATCCCCT